TCCTCAACACCCAAAAAGCAAATAACCCGATTAACAAATGGGCAGAGGAGATGAAGAGACAGTTGTCCAAAGAAGAAATTCAGATGGCCAACAGACACATGAAAAGATGCTCCACATCACTAATCATGAGGAAAATGCAAATTAAAAGCACAGTGAGATATCACCTCACACCAGTAAGGATGGCCAGCATCGAAAAGACTAAGTACAACAAATGCTGGCAAGGATGCAGGGAAAGGGGAACCCTCCTACACTGCTGGTGGGAATGTAAGCTAGTTGAACCATTGTGGAAAGCAATATGGAGGTTCCTAAAAAAACTAAAAATAGAAATACCATTTGACCTGGGAATCCCACTCCTTGGAATTTACCCAAAGAATACAACTTCTCAGATTCAAAAAGACATATGCACCCCTATGTTTATTGCAGCACTTTTTATAATAGCCAAGACATGGAAGCAACCTAAGTGTCCATCAGTAGAAGAATGGATAAAGAAAAGGTGGTACATATACACAATGGAATACTATTCAGCCATAAGAAAGAAACAAATCCTACCATTTGCAACAACATGGATGGAACTGTAGGACATTATGCTCAGTGAAATAAGCCAGGTGGAGAAAGACAAATGCCAAATGATTTCCCTCATTTGTGGAGTATAACAGTGAGGCAAAACTTAAGGAACAAAATAGCAGCAGACTCAGAGACTCCAAGAATGAACTAGTGGTTACCAAAGGGTAAGGGTGTGGGAGGGAGGGTGTGGAGGGAGGGAGAAAGGGATTGAGGGGTATTATGTTTAGTACACATGGTGTGGGGGATCACGGGGAGAACAGTGTAGCACAGAGAAGGCACATAGTGAATCTGTGGCATCTTGCTGCACTGATGGACAGTGACTGCATTGGGGTATGGGTGGGGACTTGATGATATGGGTGAATGTAGTAACCACATTGTTTTTTCATGTGAAACCTTCATAAGAGTGTATATCAATCATTCCTTAATAAAACTTTTTTTTAAAAAGCTACTCACCCCATTTTCACTGCTGCATTATTTGTGCAATAGCCAAGATATGGAAGCAACGTAAGTGTCTATTGATAGATGAACTGATAAAGAAGATAGTGTATACAATGGAATATGATTCAGCCATAAAAAAAGAATGAAATCCTGCCATTTGTGACAACATGGATGGACCTAGAGGGTATCATGCTAAGTGAAGTAAGACAGAGAAAGACAAATGCCCCTATGATCTCACTTATATGTGGAATCTGAAAAACAAACTCATAGGTGATTGCCAGAGGCAGAGGAGGGGGTGTGGGAGAAATCGGTAAACTATTTTTTAAAAATAAATCGAATTATTTATATTTTAAAAAGTACAAAGTAAGTTAAAAACATGAAAAATGTCAAGAAAAAAGTAATATGCCTCAGTTTATCTTTTAACAGTTCTTAGCTTGTAAATACATTTATGGATCAGATATGTAATCAAGATTTTAATGACTCAGACAGGTAAAGGAATGATTACCACACGATATAACAAGTGTCACTAGGGGGAAACCCAGGCTTCACAGCAGCCCAAAGCCAGGTGCCAGCCCACCCTAGGGGCTAATGGCACAGGAGGGTTCAGGCGGAGAGAAGAGCCTGGGGCACAGAGCACCTGCTGTCCACCTTTGCCAAGAAGGCACTCTTGTGGCCATGGTATCCCTGGACACAGGTGGATACCAGAATGGGGCACATGGCATGCTTGCACCCTACTCACCCCCTGGGGCATGCGCCCTGGATAGCAGCTTGGCCAGGGCATCCTGGCAGCCCCTAAAGGTTTTCAAATGTATTTGGCGACTAGGTGACCCTCTCCTACAATTCTTAAATCAATACAGTATAAAGAGACCTGTCAGGAAGTCTTGCTCCTGACTCTCCCCCATCTGCCACACTCCCTCTGTGCTCCTGCTCCACGCACCCCTTTTGTTGGTGTTCTGGGTATCCTTCTAAAGTTTCTTTATCCAATTTCACATTCTTCCTTCTTATGTAGAGGCAGATACTCTGCACACTGGCTTGGACCTGGAGAGGAGGTGCATGTCATTTTCCAATGCTACTGCTTTTGCATAACGCCAGCATCTGTTTCTGCCCATGTTCTGGTGTTTGGGATCTCAAGGGAAGCCAGTTATGACAGGCAGCCCGGGGCTGCTCTAGGCCTGGCTGTCCAGGCATGGTGGGAGCTGGGACTCAGCAGGGTGCAAACGTTGCCTTTTCCTCTGCCTTCCCGTTTCCCCATCTCTCTGCATCCACATCTGTCCTCAGCCCTTGTGCAATTCCAAGCAAGGACAGCCTACTGACAGGTCACTCCCAGCTTTGCAGGACACTGGCATGGAGGAGCAGTCACAGGTGCTGACTGAAAGGGCTGCGCCAACCTCTCCTGCCAGCTCTTATTCCTAAAAGGCATGTGGGGCATTCAGGCGTTTTCCTCATGGCTCAGGCCACAAGCTCTGGAACCTCTTTCCAGGGTTTGACACCCTGGGGGTCCTTTTGACCTCCTCAGGGAGCTATCAGCCCTTGAGAAGGGGAGCAGCTGGGATGGGGGCAGGCCTGAGGTTTCCCAGGAGAGATGGCCTGTTTTCCAAAGGATGACCCCCTTCTCCCTCTCCCTGGAGGGCTGGGGGTGCGTCTGCCTTCAGTCAAATCTAGCCTTGACCTTATCTGATCAAGCTCAGAAGCAAAAGTCTTTGTGTCCTTAGTGGGTAAGGATTCACTGGGGCCAGATCAACCCTGTACACCGGGCGTAAGCCAGGGCCTGGAAGTCAGTGGGGCCTCAGTAAAGGTATGTTGGTGGATTCAGGCCTGGGAAGGTGGCCTTGCAGGGGATGAAGGGACTGTCTCCTGTCACCTAGGACCACCCACCAGCAGGCATAGTGCAGGGAGGACAGGGTCTGGTTACCAGACATGGATTTGTGTCCTGGTACTACTTCCTAGCTTACTTATTTTGTTTTTAAAAAGCCTTATGAAGTGTAACATAAGGACCATAAAATTCACCCACTCTCCATGTCGATGACCATGTATGTAGAGTTGTGCAAACATCACATCTATTTTAATAATTTCATTGTTCCAAACCAACTGCTCACTTTTCCCATGCCCCCTCCAGGCCCCAGGCAGCCACTACCTCTGTCTCTATGGGTTTGAATTTTCTGGACATTTCATATAAATGGAATTGTAACTTGTCCTCTTGTGACTGGCTTCTTTTGCTTAGCATGTTTTGTGGTTCATCACATTCTTTCTATGGTTAACATTGTGCAGACATAATACATTTTAACCATCCACCAGTTGATAGATATTTGGGTTACTTCCACTTCATGGCTAGTATGAATAATGCTTCCGTGACCACTCATGTGCAAGCTTTGTGTGGACATGTGTTCTCTTGGATAGGTACCTAAAGCACAAAAGGTAGGTACCTAACTCTATGCTTAAGCTTTCAAAGAACCGCCAGCAGGTTTTCCAGAGTGGCTATACCACTTTCCCTCCCCACAGCAATACTTGAGGGTTCTAACCTCTCCACACCCTTGCCAACATTTTAATTTTTTAACTAATTAGAGTCACACTGAGCATGCAGTGGCATCTCCTTGGACTTTGTGTCTCCTTACCAATACTGAGAGCCAGTCATGTGCTCATTTGTGCATCTTCTTTGGTGAGCTGTATATTCATTCTTTTGGGGCAACTTATTTAACCTCTGAGCTTCCCCTGTTAATTATACCCAGTCGGACTGTAAGATTTTATGTAAAGGGCCTGCCATGCAATGGGAACTTTAAAATGCAGCACAGTGTTGTCCTACTTGCCACTTTGGCCACAGAGGAACCTTTTCCGGACTCTCAGGTTTGGAGCTGAGCCAGGGATGCTGGACTCCGGCAGCAATGGCTCTCCTCCCTCCTCAGTGAGAGGGTGAAGGACAAGCATCACGTGCATGAAGGGTCTCAAAGAACCGCCAGCAGGTTTTCCAGAGTGGCTATACCACTTTCCCTCCCCACAGCAATACTTGAGGGTTCTAACCTCTCCACACCCTTGCCAACATTTTAATTTTTTAACTAATTAGAGTCACACTGAGCATGCAGTGGCATCTCCTTGGACTTTGTGTCTCCTTACCAATACTGAGAGCCAGTCATGTGCTCATTTGTGCATCTTTGGTGAGCTGTATATTCATTCTTTTGGGGCAACTTATTTAACCTCTGAGCTTCCCCTGTTAATTATACCCAGTCGGACTGTAAGATTTTATGTAAAGGGCCTGCCATGCAATGGGAACTTTAAAATGCAGCACAGTGTTGTCCTACTTGCCACTTTGGCCACAGAGGAACCTTTTCCGGACTCTCAGGTTTGGAGCTGAGCCAGGGATGCTGGACTCCGGCAGCAATGGCTCTCCTCCCTCCTCAGTGAGAGGGTGAAGGACAAGCATCACGTGCATGAAGGGTCTGTGTTCTGTACATTCTGTTGAGCAATTCCATACCCATGGTCTCACTTCATACCCACTTCATACTCACTGAGCCTCTGGAGGAAGCACAACCTCAACATCTACGGAGGAACCTTGTAAATGGCACATGCAGCCTCGGCTTCTGGGAGGCAGGAGAGCCAGAGGCTAAGAAAACAGATGGCCCCATTGCTGACCTGAAGCTCATCCCCACCAGTCTCAGCTTCTTCCAGAGTGAGGGAAAGAACAGCTCCTTCCACAGAGGGCAGCTGTCTGGTCTTAGCACAGGGCCTGGCCCACTACAGAGTGGACAGCTTCCTCCTTTGTGTTTGGGCTGCTGCCCCATCACACACCCAGGCCACTTGGCTCTGCTCTGCTGTGAGCTTTGGCATCCAAGGACACAATCTCTTGCCCCTGCTCCTGAGGGCCAGGCGGCAGCTCTCTGCCCTGGCTCTACCTCCCCTCATCCCTGCCTCTTGCCTTTAGACAGCACTCCCCAACTGAAACACACAGCACCTGGTAAGGCCCCAAGTTCTCTAGAATGATGACTTGAGATTAAGCATAAGAAAAGTAGGGTAATACAAAACAAAACTTTATTAAAGCAGCTCAACTTAGCAGTACAGAATATTTTTTCAACTGTACACCTATGAAGCAGGGGTTAAATATAAGCATAGTCTACTTTTCTGTTTCTGATTAATTGTGACAATTCTAAGTCACTCACTTCTTTTCCATTTATCAATCCAAAGAGAAAAGTCCTTGTCATGTTTGCACCTCTCACCCCCCTGGCTTGGCATTACACTGACCCTGCCTTGGGCTCCAGCTAGAGGACCCCAGTTGAAGCTGTCACAACCTCCCTCCTCTCCAGACCTTCTTACCATGCCTTTCTCCTCCAGCAGCAGGAGGTCTGCCGAACTGCATCTGACCCCAGCATCAACTCTCTCTTCAGAGCATCTCACAACATGGCAGGGGAAGGGGTCTAGAGCTGCAGGGTCTGGATGGACTTAAGGAGGATTTAGCACAAGGACCTGAAACTATCTGAGCCTGCTGGAGCTGCCCAGCCCCCAGTTGAGGGCCCTACTCATTAAAGGCAGGCAGAAGCTGCCTCAGTCCTTCTTGTCTCCTGGGGCGTGATTTCCTGTGAGGAGCCTCCCTGAGCTGGAATGGGGCAGTGTGGACACCGTGGGGGGACTCCAGCTTCACTTTGTCAAGGACGGTCTTCTTGAGCGCAGCTGGGGAGATTTTTTCTTGGTCAGCCATGGACTGTAACTCTCTGTAGATAAGGACCCAAAGAGGTTGAGAGCAGCCAGAGCTTCTCGAGGCTTCCCCATCCACATAAGCCCCAACTTTTCATGACACCACCTGAAAGTAGAACCTCAGACTAAATGCTCTCCCAAGCTCCTCAGAAGTACCATTTAACTAAGTTATCACACGGATGCAGAGTTCCAAGTGGGTCTATGGTCATAAGGGGAAAGAGTGTCAAAAATCATGGGGTTTGGCACCAGATGTGAAGCCAAATCCTGCTTCTGCCACTTACTGTTCGACCTGGGGAAATTCATCTTTCTGAGCCTCAACTTCCTCACCTACAGATCAAAGCTAATCACAGCTACCAGAACTGTGGTAAGAATGAAGTAGGGCCTGCAAACTCTAGCTCAACAAGCCAAAAACACGTGGCTTTGAACACAGAACAGAAGGCAGCAGGTTCTGCAAAATGGTGCCCAGTCCAGGGGCCAGTAGGAATGGAGGCCTGGGGTGGGGAAGGAGAGTGACCCACCGTGTTCGGACGTAAGAGGCCTCAACTGCATTGATGAGCAAGGAGCGGAAGCCCCCACTCTCCAGGAAGTACAAGGCATGGATGGTGGCACCCCCCCGGGGAGCAGACATTGTCCTTGAGCTGGCCTGGGTGCTGCTCCGAGTCTAGCAACATCTTGGCAGCCCCCTACAGGAAGGGAGTATCAGAGAAAACTGCTTGTGCGGGATTCTCTGTGCCCAATGTTCATCCCCAATCCATATCCCAGCTTCCCAACCGACCCCTGTTCGCAGAGCTGAGCCAACAAGAAGCCCCATCCTACACCCCGATCCAGAACATATAGAGGAAAGATACTGACCAACAAAGCCTGGGCCCCCAGTCGGACTGCCAAACGCTGTGGCAGGCCCATCTTCACCCCACCATCAGCCAACACATTGAGGACCATGAATGCCTAGGGGGATACTCACTGACTAAGTCTCAGGGCAGCAGGCACTCAGGGGCCACACTGTAAGGTCTGCCCTTCCTGATGACTGAGCTAGCTCCAGGGTCAACCTCCTACCCCAGCCAGCCCCACCCAAGGGGTAGGCAACACCCCAAGCCCAAGCCTGCCTGTAGCCCATCCTGCTCCTGAGGCCCCAGAAGGCTGAGCAAGCAATGAGGGCCTCACATAGGGAGGCCCGCTACCACTGAGCCCTGTCACAGCATCAATTAGGTCCTCTTCCACCTCTGTGCAGAAGCCCACACTGCTCATGAGCTGCTCTAGAAGCTGCTCATCTTCCACCAGGGCATGCGTGCCTGTGGCATACACCGTGGCACCCTCTCGTACCACCACAGGTGTGTTGGTCATGCAGTGAATCACCTTGGGGCCGGCTGGAATACCATCAGCTTCTGGGGTAAGGAAAAGGGCTGAGTGAGTGGCCAGGGTGCAGGGCCCATGGTCATCCACCCCTGCCCTCTCACAGGGACACCAGGGCTGAGACAGGAACCTTCTCCACAGAGCTGATGGTGACACCGGCCTCACAGGAGACCACGGTGTACCTGGCCTGGACATCGGCCCCGATCTCATCCAGGATGAAGGGGATGATGTGCGGCTTCACAGCCAAGAAGAGGATGTCACTGTGCTTCACTGTCTCCTTTTTGCTCTGGGTCAGGTTCACACCCATCTTCTGCAGGAGGAGACTGCCCAGCTCACAGTACAGGGAAGTCTCTCCACCCAGCCCTCTCAAGCAGCTGGACCCCTGCTGTGTCCACTCTGCCAGCTGCAGCCTGGAATTCCCTGCTCTGTCCCCTTAGCGTCTCCCTCTACACCTGTGGCACCTTTCCAGTGTTGCTACTGGGAAAGTGGGCACCGGTGCTGGGCATGGACAAGCTTCTCCATGGCAACCAGGAAATGGCTGTTCCCCATCCCCACCATCCTCTGGCACCCAAGGTACTCTCTGCTAGTAATAAGGCCCGATGGTAGGCATGTGGCACAGTCTAAGGGCAAGACGGAGTATTGGCACGTGGTTGGAAGCAGAGCTGGGTCAGGCCCTATCCCAACCCCAGACACTTGTCCATCATACTGCATGGTCTCCGTGGGTGGACTGGAGGACAAAGTGGGAGCAGGGCCACTCCAGTGCTAGGACATCAGCCATCCTAGGCACAGACACTGCCTGTCCTCTGCCCCATTACACATCCTCTCCCACACTGTCCAGGTGACAGCTTGGGATATTCCTTTTTTAGAGAGAAAGAACAACTGACAGTCCAGGTTCATGCCTCAGAATAACTCAGCAAGGTAGCTACTGTGGTCTCCATTTTATAAATGAGGAAACTGAGGCTCAGACTAGCTGAGTATCTTAAGGTTACACAACTAGTCAATGAAGAAAAACGAGTATTCACTAGGTACCTACTATGTGCCAGATGCTTTCGCATAACCTCAATTAATCTTCTAACCAACCAGTCTGTTTGCATGGGAATGTGGAGGGTCTGGAGGGTCATAGTGCTCCTGGCATGGAGATGGGCGCAGGCCAGCGGCCAGCACGGGAGCTCAGGGACTTCAGGCCGTCCTCCTCCTGGGCCTCCACCGCCTCCCTGCCCCGCTGAGTCACCTACCCGGAGCGAGGACACTGTGGGCAGGTCCATTTCCGGGGAGCTGGCTATTATCTTGTGAGCGGACAGGATGCCTGCAGAAGACAGGGCCTTTCAATGGGTGGTCGTCGGCGTGCTTTCCCTGTGAAGCAGGCACAGACACACGACGCTCTAACGGTGCCGACCTCTGCCCTCCAGGCCGGACCGCGCACACAGGGCTGTCATGCAGCTTAAAAGAAGCGACTCGGCGCCAGCAGGCGCAAGGCCCTCTTCGCTCGTCCACCTATATTCTTGGGTGGAGGGCGGTTCACAGGCCCGGCGGGGACTCGCGCAGCCCCACGCCAGAGCGGAAGCCAGCTGGCCGGCGCCGATGAAGCCCACGCTCATGGTCCGGCTCCGCGCCTGCCGGGCAGCGCCAAGAAACGCTCAGCTCCCGTCCGAGGGGGCCTCCGGGGAAGGCAGAGAGCTCAAGGACGCAGCCTGCCGCGTCCCGCGTCCCGGAACCGAAGAGCTGCCGGCAGCTTCCGAGCGGGAACCCTCCGACCCCGCCTCACTCACAGACAGAGCGCGCAGAGCCTTGCATGGCCCCGCCCAGACAGAGCGACCAATCCGCGGCCTGGAGCTTGGGGGTGACCAATCCGCATCCAGGAGCTCGGGAGGACCCAAATGTCGGCTGGGGACTCAGGCCGCGTGCCCGCCTCCTGCGCACGGTTTTGGTGGTGGACTGCGGACACGGCGGACGGAAGCTAAGGTGTTCGCTGCTGACAGTTCCTTATCTCCAGGCGCGGGGCTACCGTCGTGCCCTGGGCTCCTCGGCGTCAGGCTGAGGCCACGCGGAGGACTGGCTGATATAGCTGGCCTAACGGGCGGCCGCCATCGGTGGGCAAGGGCAGTTGTGCGTGCTGCTGATTGAACTGGGAGCGGGACCCTCCGGCAGGCTGCGGCCGGAGCTCTGCGGGGTTAGGCCTGCCGCACCCCGGTCCGCGCGCCAGTCGTGCTGAACGCGGAGGGACTCAGTGCCCCGCTTGGAGGGCTGCCGGCTCTGGGGCCTGGCCGAGTGTGATGAAGCCGGACCCTATCCCATCATCGCCACTTGCTTTAAAAGGCTCCACACATGGCGTGTCCCTCGGTCATCGTACATTACCCTTCGTCGTAATAAGTAAGGGGCCGTGGGGAACAGGTGACAGGAGAAGCACGGAGGAAGGAGGGGCTCCTCGGGGACTTGGAAGTGCGGGGAGACGTGATTACCCACGGCCCACCTGGTCTGCCTGGAGCCCCCGCCTCAGTTTCTGCACCCTTAAGTGAGGACTAAATATTTACTGTTAAGTTAATATTTCTATAACTATGCCTGATTGGAAAAATAATACCTGCATATTGAGGAAATTTTGGAAAATGCAAAAAAAGTAAAGTTAAAATCACCCATAATCATGCGTCCTAAGAAGAGTTTCTTGTTTGGTGTATTTCTTAACATTATCTTCTAGGCATATATACTTTTTCCATCATTGGAAATGCGTTATATACACATAGTCTTGAAATGCCTATCCTAGATATGTAAGAAGCATTTTCCAATATTACAAGTCATTTAAAACAAGTTTTTAGAGACTACTTAGCATTCCATTATGTGGATGCACTGCACTAATTTAGCCATTCTTAACAAAGATAAACATGTTTCATTCAATAGATTTTTATTCAGATTCTGGGGACAAAACCTCATCAGAACATGGAAGTCCCTGTCCTCACAAAATTTGTATCAGTTTTCGAAATTATCATCCTGAGAAAATTTTTTCCTGTTTCCTTGGTGTGCATCCATCCCTACAGGTGAGATTTTGGGTTCCACATGTAGAGACTTTAAAGACATCCCATGGTGGCCATGTTGCAGCCTGCCTAGTGGTCACCAGCATGAACTCTGACACCACAAACCCAACAGTTCAAACAAGAAAAGGGGGCCTTTTGATCCAGGCTTTGGGAAGGTACTGGGTAGCAAGCTACGTAGAAGGAGCATCTACCTCATGAGAACCTGGGGTGGACTAAAGTCCAGGGCTGCCAGCACTCACCCTTCCTCTTCTTTCTTTCTGCCTCTCTACCTGCTTCCACTGGGCCTCTTTTCTTGTAGAGGAGCCTTTGTCAGGGAAGATGCGAACTTCCTAATGCTGCCCAGTCCTCTAGGGGCACACAGTCCACTGGGAAGGCTGCAGGGCTGCTTTGCTGTCCCTGGCTCTCTGGCTTCTGTCTGCAACATAACAGGATGGACAAAGCTAAGTGTGTGTTGGAGGTGGATGGGGCAGAGTGGGGGATGCTCGTTCACCACTGTCAGGCCCTTTTACATACATCAATCCATTCTCAACTTCCAGGAGTAGAGGTGCAATATGGGGAGGACTACGAGGGCCTAGGAAAGGAGGTTGTGTTGGTGACCCCTATGCTGGCTTTGTCACCAGCCGGGGAAGACTACATGACAGGGAGCAGCAAGGCCCCCCAGGCCTCCTGACTAAGCTTGTATGTGCAAGCCACTGGCCAGAACTAAATTATTTTTTTTGGTACTTAGAGATTGATTACTTTTTCATTTCCAGTGTTTAAAGTTGATAAGCACAAACTCACCTTGTATATTTTACTTGTAGGCAGTCCCATTTCTTTTTTTTTTTTATTAAGGTATCATTGATATGCAATCTTATGAAGGTTTTACATGAGCAGCATTGTGGTTACAGCCATATTGTCACCCATATTGTTAAGTCCCTGCCATATACCCTATTGCATTCACTGTCCATCAGCATAGTAAGATGCTATAGAGTCACTACTTGTCTTCTCCATGTTATACACCATCCCGGTGACCCACCCACATTATGTGTGCTGATCGTAATGCCCTTAATCCCCTTCTCTCTTCCTTCCTACACACCTGCACACCCTCCCCAACCCCTTCCCTTTGGTAACCACTAGTTCTTTCTTGGAGTCTGAGTCTGCTGCTGTTTTGTTCCTTCAGTTTTGCTCTGTTATACTCCACAAATGAGTGAAATCCTTTGGTACTTGTCTTTCTCCACCTGGCTTATTTCACTGAGCATAATACCCTCTAGCTTCCATCCATGTTGTTGCAAATGGTAGGATTTGTTTTCTTATGGCTGAATAATATTTCAGTATGTATATGTACCACATCTTCTTTATTCATTCATCTACTGATGGACACTTAGGTTTCTTCCATATCTTGGCTATTGTAAATAGTCCTATGATAAACATAAGGGTACATATGTCTTTTTTTTTTTGCTTTCAATCTAGTATCTTTTATTTATTTTTATTTATTTTTTTTTGGTATCATTAATATACAATTACATTAGCAACATTGTGGTTACTAGATTTCCCCCATTATCAAGTCCCCACCACATACCCCATTACAGTCACTGTCCATCAGTATAGTAAGATGCTATAGGGTCACTACTTGTCTTCTCTGTGCTATACTGCCTTCCCCATGCTCCCCCACTTCATTATGTGTTCTAATTGTAATGCCCCTTATTCCCTTTCCCCCTCCCCTCTCACCCACTCTCCCCAGTCCCTTGCCCTTTGGTAACTGTTAGTCCATTCTTGGGTTCTGTTGAGTCTGCTACAGTTTTGTTCCTTCAGTTTTTTCTTTGTTGTTATGCTCCATGATGAGTGAAATCATTTGGTACTTGTCTTTCTCTGCCTGGCTTCTTTCACGGAGCATAATACCCTCTAGCTCCATCCATGTTGCAAATGGTAGGATTTGTTTTCTTCTTATGGCTGAATAATATTCCATTGTGTATATGTACCACATCTTTATCCATTTATCTACTGATAGATACTTAGGTTGCTTCCATTTCTTGGCTGTTTTAAGTAGTGTTGTGATAAACATAGGGGTGCATATGTCTTTGAAACTGGGATCCTGCATTCTTAGGGTAAATTCGTAGGAGTGGAATTCCTGGGTCAAATGGTATTTCTATTCTTAATTCTTTGAGGAACCTCCGTATTGCTTTCCACAATGGCTGAACTAATTTACATTCCACCAACAGTGTAGGAGGGTTCCCCTTTCTCTGCATCATCACCAGCATTTGTTGTTCCTAGTCTTTTCGATGTTGGCCATCCTAACTCGTGTGAGGTGTATCTCATTGCGGTTTTAATTTGCATTTCCCTGATGAATAGCGATATGGAGCATCTTTTCATGTGCCTGTTGGCCCTCTGAATTTCTTCTTTGGAGAAGTGTCTGTTCAGATAGTCTGCCCTTTTTTAAATCCAGTTATTTGCTTTTTGGATGTTGAGGCATGTGAGTTCTTTATATATTTTGGATGTTAACCCCTTATCAGATATGTCATTTACAAATATATTCTCCCTTACTATAGGATGCCTTTTTGTTCTAGGTAATCCCACTTCATTCCCTTGTAATGACCTTGCTAACTAAAGGCCCATTCCATTGGTGCCATGGCCCCTGGCTGTTGCTCCCACGGTGATTACATCCTGGGATGCCTGGGGTGCGGTGTTTGGTAGATGAGATGAAGAAAGGCCCTCCTTTCTACCCAACCACTCAGGACATGACCTGGAGGGCCCAGCCTGGTGTTGCCATGCTGCCATGGACATATGCTTTCCACATCTGGCACCTGTCTCCTTGGGTGCCCACTCTATCCTTTCACTCCGTCTGAACAGAGAGCAGTCTAGGAAGAAAATTGAGATGTTCACTAAGCCTCCAGGACTGCCCCCCCTTTGCCTGTCTCATACCATCTCATCAACTAGCCAGATGGGTTCAGCTCTACCTGCCTTTCCCCCTTCCTTTCCACAGTCCTGCCCCCTGTCCCTCTCCAGGTGTCCCAGACAAAGTGGAAATGCTTCATTTCAGCTTCCCTTGTCCAGGTTCTTTGTCTTAGGGCCTCCAGGTCTCCTTCCTGGTCTATCTCTTAACAGCAGGCTCATCTCTTTTAAGAGTGAAGGTGATGAAGGGAATAAGGGAGACTCCTGAGCTCCTCCCAGCTAATCAAATGGCAAGTCCACCAGATCCCTAACATTTTGCAGACATTGTTACATTTTTTTGTCATTACATCAATAATCCAGTGTGATTGTAAAAAGAATTAGAAATTCTATCAAATGAGAGAATGAACATTGCCTTTAATCCTACAATCTAAAGAAAACCAATATGACTCATTTGGAATATAACTCTAGACTTCTTTTTTCCTTTTGCAATCAGGCTCATTTTAAACTTGATTTTTAAAAAGAAAATTATTTTATTTTTTACACTTTTTAAATTGATGTGTAGTTGATGTACAATATTATATTGGTTTCAGGTGTGCAATAGTGATTTGATGATTATATGTATTAGTAAATGTTTGCCATAATAAATGCTGTCAATATACAAAGATATTACAGTATTATTCACTATATTCCCTATGCTATACTTTCATCCCCAGGACTAATTTATTTTATAAATGGATGTTTGTCCCTCTTTTTCACCTTCAACTATTTCACTGCCCTTCCCCCCACATTGCAGCCATGAGTCTGTTCTCTGTGTTTAATAGACTATTTCCATTTTGTTTGTTTTTTCATTTGTTTTTTTTAAATTCCACATACAAGTAAAATCATATGTTATTTGTCTTTCTCTGCATGATTTCATTTAGCATAATATCCTCTGGATTGATCTATGTTGTCTCAAATGGCAAAATCTCATTCTTTTTTATGGCTGAGCAATATTCCATTGTGTATGTATACCATATTTTTATCCATTAATCTATTGGTGGACACTTAGGTTGCTTCCATGTCTTGGCTATATGGTAAACAATGCTGCAATAAATATAGAAGCTCACATATCTTTTAATTAATTTAGTCACATAAATTAGTGATTTTGTTTTCTCTGAATACATTCCTGAAAATGGAATTACTAGGTTATACAATGTTTCTATTTTTAGTTAAGCTTAATCTTTAAAACAAGTATGTGTTCATGTTTATGTCAACAGGTCAGTTTGTATGTAATAAATATGCAAAAATCAAAATAACTTTATTTTAGGATGGTGGGATTTGGATGGTTTTCAGTTCACTCAAAATTACCTTTAATGTTGATACTTCATCTTTTATAAGTCAAAAAATATATAATTACACCTTACTTCTAATAGAATTTGGTTTATTGTCTATTAACTTTCCATTGCTGCCATAACAATGCACCATAAATTTAGCACTTGAAACAAAGCAAGTTTATTATCTCACATTTTGTAGGTGAGAAGTCTGCATAGGTCCAGTGGTTTCTCTCCTCCAGGTCACTCTGACCAAATCAAGATGCCAGCTGATTTGGGTTGTTATCTGGAGGATCTAGGGGAGAACTGGCATCCAGACCCACTCAGGTTATTGGCAGATTTTGGTTCCTGTGGCTGTAGTACTGAGATACCCTTTCCTTGCTGGTCGTCAGTTGGGAGTCATTCTCACCTTCTAGAAGCCACTCATATTCCTTGGCTCATTGCCTCCTGGTACTTACAACATCATCTTCAAACCAGCAATGGCAGGCTGAGTCCTCACGCTTCAGATCTCCCTGATCTCCTCGTTTGCCTCTGTTGGTTGGCAACCTTGTAGGGAATTTCCCAGGTGTAATCTGAAACCAGCACCCATACATGGAAGGCAGGGAGAGACAAACAGAGAGGTAGCCACTCCAGAGGGTGGGTGGCAGGTGTAATAAGCATGGAAACTCACAAATGACATTTGTGTTGGGCAACCGCAAGACCAGTGGACCTGTCCACCAGCCCACCAAATCTTCAAAGTTTATATTGAGGCCTTAGAGGGGTTTAGTCACATATACTATACTATCCAGATGGTCTCAACACCACATCACTATCTCAAGGCTGTGTCCCTGGGGCAGCCTCTAGCAACGTAAAGGCAAGCAGATTTCACTTCTCATGGACAAGAGGGGATGAAGAATTTCTGGCTGCAGGGTCCCACTCACAGGTCAGCCAGAGGTCATATCCTCTTCATGACCTCCAGCAGCCTCATCTCTCCTGTCTCCAGCCAGAGAAAGTTCTTTGTTTTGAAGGGCTCATGTGATTAGATTGGAGTAATCTGAGATCATCTTCCTATTTTAAGGTCTGTACCTTAATTGCATCTGCAAAGTCCCTTTTGCCATGTGACATAACAGAGTCACAGGCTTCAAAGATTGTGGGAAGGACTGCAAAACATGGATGGATTTGCAGAGAATGTTCTGTCTGCCACACCGTATCCCTGTGCTAATGAGCACATCCTTACATCTTGAAATGAAGCCAATCTGAATTTTTTAGCTCCCATGGGATGATTTAAGTTGGCCCATCCTTGCCACTGATTGCATGTGACTGGCTGGGAGTCCACAGAACTTTTAGAGCCACAGATATATCACGGAGTAGCTGGTAGAATTCTTTAGATGACATTGATGTCCTTGTAGAGAAAGCAGCTCTCTGCCCTGAAACTCAAAATATCCTAAGTGGAAAGGCTTCCTTCTGATATCTTATGGAGATGATCTAGCCATTTACAAATCAGAGCCAAATCATCTCCTACCTCCAACAACGTTCTTGCCATGTCCTCAAATCCTGGCTGTCCATTTTTTCCTCCAATATTCAGTTGCTGTTAATTAGTTTTGTGGGTAAAAATAGAGTCCGTGAATTTCAATAGCCAGGCATAAGGAAACCCAGCTGACTGGGAAAGGTAACCTGCCATATGTGACAGCTTCCAAATGACGTGTTAACTACTGTCTATATCAGCAGAGCGTGCTTACTGGGGCATGGTGTGCGAAGGACTTTTTGGAACCCATTCCATGGGGTAGAGATTCAACAGATTCACATTACCTCAGCCTTGATTTCTTCATTTGATTAATACCTAGCTCTAGGAATTAGTTGCAAGTATTAAGCAATACAATTGTATAAAATTGCCTACCACAGCACCCTGATTCATAGTGAATGCTCAGTAAATGTTAGCTTGCTTATACACCATTGTCACCACTCCCACTCCTGCTCTATCCTCATAAGCACAGTTGCAAGGGTTAAAGTGCTTTCTAAAGAGGTGGTATATGTGAGTAGTGGTTTACAATACTAATTGTGGAATGAGAGGGGGTGTGAGCATGAAGATACTGTAAATTAAAGTGTAATCTAATCTTAGTGCAGTCTTCAGCGTCCTCTAGAGGAGAGTCGCTGTCATATCACCTCCTTTCTTCTTGTCACTTTGCTCTCATTCCCTATTATTGCTCCCCTCTCTCTAGTAAAGGGTACTAGAAACTAAATACAGAGACACAGAGTGAAACATCACTTTTATTTCAGCACATTATCTGCATTCAATTGTTTTTTACTAAATTAAAGGAAAAGTAAATACATGTGGGTTCTGGGGATAAGTTCTCTAAACAGGGAAATGACTAAATATGTGCAGGCAATGCTGGGTCTCTGGGGGTGCAGAGGAGTGGGTGGGTTAGGGCTGTCTGATCTCCAGGGCAATGAAGTTTTAGAGCTGAATCCCAGTTCTTCCTTTTTAAGAGGAAACGGTGGCCTAAAGATGTCTGCATTTGCTTAAGTTCATAGCTGTGGCCCTGTTAGATCCAGAAGCCAAGTGTCCTGATTCCCTGTTCATTGCCTCTAGCCAGTAGCCCTTCATCCTCTCTCCTAGCACTCCCTCATGGGAACAGGACCCAAGTATGTTTACAGAAGTCCATAATGGGTCAATAATTGGGGGAACGAGGGTTCTTTTTTAAGTCTCCCTACCTAGGGGGAGCAAAGGGATGGTCTTGCTTTGTTTTACTTCATCATATATAGAGCAAATCAATCTCATCCCAGTCCTCATCATAGGGTGTGCTGTCCCACACTCAGCTGAGAATTTTCTAGGGAACAGATGCTACCAGCCGGCAATCTGCCCATGCTCAGTTACATCCTATAACAAGTAGGCCGGGATTTTCCTCTAGAGCTCAGCAACCCAACTTCCATTAGTTACTCATGTAAGTGCTTGTGGGGTGGTGTGGGTGATGGACAGAAGGACAAGAAAAGGAAGAACACACCGGGAAAGGTAAAATATGGGCATTCAAACTGGGGCAGGGGTGACTTGCTAAGTAGAAAATTAGGATCTACAGTAGGACCTGCTTCAGTGCATGAGTCCACCTGCCCTACGGCTCCAACTTCCTTGGCACTGGCGCCCCATCTGAGGCACAGCTGCACTTCTGCACCCTCATGTTGGGTAGGCTGACCACCTGCGGCCTGAGCCTGCCCCCCTCCTTGACGCTGACAATCATGGGCAGCGAGGTCATCTCCGAGGCGACGCACTGCCTTGGCCCCAGAAACGGCCACTTGAAGGTCAGGGGCTCCGGAGGCTGCTGGCAGGTGCCCACACACTCGTAGGCCAGGAAACCCGGGGGCTCCAGGACCCAGTGCTCAGCCCACTTCATGTCCTGCAGGTCAATGTACATCTCCCGGCGGCAGCAGCGGGTGCCCACGGGCCCTGGCTCCTCAGGACCACAGTTGCCCTGAGCTCTGTGGGGCAAGGAGAGGCAGGGGCACTGGTCAGCTGGGAGGGCCGAGGTCAAGGGCCCCGGAAGTTGAGGGGTGGGGCGCGGCTAGTGGACCGTCTCGGAGTGAGATTCATGATCCATCTCTCATTGTGCCCCTAACTGCAGGGTGTTTGTGATGAGGGTGGACAGCTAGAAACAACCAAAGAGTAAATCCTAAGTGATACCACTCCTCAGAGGCAGAGGAGACCTTTTCCGTGCTAGTTCTTCCCCAGGGTACCTGCGGAGACACCGCCCCAACCGGCTTAATTCCCCGCTAGCTGGCCCGTGGGCTCCCGGCTGACCCGCGACGCCTACCCATAGTCCCTGAGGTCCAGAGCGTGCAGCTCCAGCTGGGGCTCGCCCTGCCCCGCGGCCCGCGGCCCCTGAGAAGCGAAGCGGACCAGCTGGTGGGCGCTGGAGGCCAGCGGGCCCAGGTGCTCCCTCTGCACTGACACCTGCAGCAGCAGCGGCTGCCGGGGCCGACTCAGCTGCTGCCAGAAGTGCACGGCCTCCGTCACGTCGAAGGCCCTCCAGCCGCTCTCGTGGACGGACACCAGCCTGCGCCACCACACGGACACAGGCCTGAGCGGAGGGCGACCCGCGCGGCGGCGGGGACTGGGTGGCGTCCCCGCCCCTCGGGGTGCCCCGCCCCCGGCCCCGCCCCGCCCCGCCCCACCTGGAGTCCACCAGGGAGGTGCGGTTCGAGCCATCGTCGCGGACGTGCAGCCACTGGACGGTGACGCGCGCTCGGTCGCTGCGCGGGGACAGCCGCTCGTGCCTGCGGAGCGCGGCCTTGGGGACCGGCTCCTGGAAGAGGCGCAGCACGGCCTGCACCAGCTCGCTCTCGGGCGGCAGTCGCTGCTCCAGGTGGAACACCAGCAGGTGCGCGGAGGCTTCGGACGCCAGGAACCTGCCAGCCACCTCTGGGGACAGGGCCGGGGTCAGGGGAGCCCTCCGCACTCGGGGGGTGTGAGGATGGCAGAACCACAGAGTGGGTGGCCAGGCGGGAGAAATCGGCCCCTGTCCTGTCTCCCTGGGCCAAGCTTTTACATGGGCATGTCCCTCGGGTCTGGGACCCAGTTCGTACAGTCTACCCGCAGCAGGCAGGGGCCGCTCTGGCACCCAGAGCTGACAGGCCTACCTCAGCTGACATTTAAGTGTCAGAATCCTCACCTGGGGCACCTGCCTTTGGGGCTGGCTCTGGAGGTGAGCCCCAGGCCCAGGGGGTGATAGGCTGAATGGAATTCAAGCCAGCCTTGTCCCTGACAGCTGAGTGGCAGGTGTTACACTGTAGTTAATTCTTCGGTTACCCATGAATGATCTCTCCATGATCATGCACTTTACAGTCACAGCCCCAGGAGACCAGTCAGACATCATCATACCAATGTTGCAGAGAAGCGAGCAGGTTGGGAGCCTTATTTTAAAACCAATTGCTCAAGGTCAGGGAATCCCAGAAACCCTGGCTCCCCCCCAGCACTGAGGCAGAACCGGGCTGCATCATCCTCTCCACCCTCCTCTTCTCTGATGCCTCCACTTGGGCAGCGGGTCCCAGGGGCCCACCTCCTCCCGACCCTGAGATATAGGGCCCTTGGTGCAGGCAGAGACCAGACCAGGGACCCCGCTCAGCCACCTCAGAGGCAGAGGTTCCCCCCACCCGCGTGGCCCCTGGCCCTCGGGCAGCCTCCCCCTGCAAGGACCAGGCTGCAGCAAGGGAGGAGGCCTCACCTCGGAAGTTTTGGCTGAACCTCTTCCCTCGGGATCGGGCTCCGTGGCCTCGCTGCAGCAGGGACACGTACTGGGCCCTCACGTGGCCAGGGGTGTCTAGCTCCTCCACATTGGCCTTATCCAGGGTGGGCACCTCCCTGAGGTGCAGCTGCTGCAGCAGGCTGCCCAGGATCTGCTCCCCTGTCAGGGCCACCCCGGGGCCGGCCGGGGGCAGCACCCAGAGTGCCCAGCAGAGCCACAGGGGCCTCATGGTGCCGTTCGGGAGGAGCAGGAACGGAGCAGAAGTGTCCCTGGAAGAGGCTCCAGGAGGGGCCCAGCTGGGTTGCTGAGAGCCAGGCTGGCCAGCTTTATAGGCAGCCCTGGGCTGGGCGTGGGTGGAGGGAGGGAGGCTGAGGGGGAGAGAGGTCACACCCTCAGACCTCCTGGGAGCTCAGCAGCCAGACTGGTCCGTGAGCCCGAGGTGGGGGCTGTCTACAAGGGGCACAGAGGGCTGTCTCGATGTCACATCATTCTGGGGCCTCACCACTGTCTGGGTAGCTCAGTAATAGGTTCGGTGCCTGTTGAATTTCCCTGGTCCTACCCTAGTCCTAGTCTTCGAAAAAGCAAACTTGTTCTGTAAAAAAAAAAAATGAGACCTTTTAGCCAGCTCTTTAAATCTCTTTCTTGGGGGCTAGTCTGGGTCTTGATTTTTTTCATCAGGAGGGAAGGAGGGAAAGGACTCTGCATCTTGCCTGTGCCAGGCAAGGCCCTAAGCAGAACACTCCCACAGGAACCCCTGGAGTCTGCCTCCTCAATCCCTCAGCCCTGCCCACTCCTCTCCACTGTCCTCAGGAGACCTTGTCCACCCCAAGACAGAAGGAAGCTAGAGGCTGTCACGACAGGAAATCTCATGGCTCAGCTCTGTGGCAGTCCCAGGAAAAGCAAATTTTCCAAGTTTCTTTGCAATCACATGACTGCCTTCAAAGTGAGAGTGCCCCTCCACAGTGACATCGTTCTGGGGAGCACTTTTCATGGGAAGCCTGGCTGCTGGCTCACACTGCCAGAGCTCAGTTCAAGTCCAGGTCATGCCCAGACATGTGCTGAGGGACAGGAACCTGGAAAGCAGAGGCCAGTGCTGCCCAGAGTCATGTCCTGTGTGAAGCCACAGGTACGGAGCCCCCTGGGCAGGGAGCCCCCCATGCCCCCTCACATGCACATTTTAGACTGGCTGGGTTCAAAATGAGGCCTGCTGCTTGCTGGCTGTTTGGACTGCTAGCAAGTTCCTTAACATCCCAGTGCCTGCTTGCTCACCCAAAGGAGGGGCTGGTAGTAATCGGGTCCACGTTGCAGGGCTGGCATAAAGAGTAAATGAATCAGCATGCGTAAGTTGTTCAGCTTAGCACCCGGTGCCTAGTGTGCCCTGGATAGGGTTTGTAAGCCCCCTGTAAGGGTTTGCTGTTGTGTTATCCACACAGTCATTGCCCTCTGGGGGATGATGAGAAGTGCAATCCTCTCCTGAGTGCTCACTATGCACCAGGGATTTTTCTGAGCTCTGAACAAGTATTCACAACAGCCCTGGGAGGCAGGTGTCAGATGGCCCACATTCCATGTGCACAGTCAGAGCCTGGTGAAGGAAACTGTCCCGGCTTGCTCAGCAAGTGGAGGGCTAGGTTGTTCACTACAGGCATCTGTCCCCAGAGGCCCTTCCTGGCACAGAGATTTGATGATGTGCAGGGGGAAACCCTTCCCTAAATGTGACAGCCTCACTTCCCATGTTCTGTCACGGTTGTTCTGTCCTCTGCAAAGGTGGTAGAGGACAAGAGCTGGTTGAGGGCCAAGGGGCCTGGTGGGCAGGGAGCATCCTGTTTCCCCTTCCTCTGCCGTGGGTGAGCTGTGTCACTGACAGGTCTCTGGTGCCAACTCTCTGCCTCTGTGCTGCTCACATTCAAGGCAGAAGAGCTGAAAACCTGGTACTCAAGGCAGAATTGTCCCTGCATGAGAGCCCAGGGACATCATGCACTAATTGCCACCATACATATTTGCATATGCGCATGTGCCTATGTACAAGAGGGGTTTTAGTAGTAAGGGGAGGCTTAGAACTGGAGGAAGGGGAGGGCCAAAAATAATAACAATAACAGTAATAATCATAAAGGCCAATAAGCTGATGGGCTGCACACCATTCTGTTTTGTGTACTTTAACTCTTCATGAAAATTTTTTGCAGATTCTCTTCTTTTATTGAAGTATTATTAAAATAAAATATATTGGTTTCAGGTGTACAATGTAGTGATTTGACCATTATATACATTATGAAATGCTCACCATGCTGTGTGGTTACCCTCTGTCACCATACAAAGTTATTACAATATTCCCAAATGTATTTCTATGTACTACTTTCATCCTCATGACTTACTTATTTTATAACTGGAAGTTTGTACCTCCTGATTCCCTTCACCTATTTTGCCATCTTCCTACCCCACCAAACTCTTTTTCTTTTTAAATTGAGGTATAATTGACATATAGCATTATATTAGTTTCAGGTGTACAACAAAATGATTTGATATTTGTATATACTGCAAAATGATCAACTCAATAAGTCTAGTTAACATCTGTCAACCAATCATAGTTACAAACTTTTTTCTTACAGTGGGCAACTTTAAGATCTCTCTTAGCAACTTACAAATAAACTATAGTCCCCATGCTGTCCATAGTATCCCTGGGGCTATTCATTTTATAACCGGAAGTTTGTACCTTTGACCCCCTTGACCCCCACCCCTATATTAACTTTATCTTTGCAACAACTTGCCACATTGTTCCTATTTTATAGAGGAACACAGAAGCATAAAACTGTTACCTGACTTGCCCAAGGTTGTGCAGGTGCCTCTGCCTGAGCTGGGGTTGTTCAAAGAGAAGGAAACAGGAATTTGGTCAAATGTGATGCACCCAGGGTCAGAGTAAACACTGGCAGCTGATGGGGTGAGAGGTGGGAGGACTCTTGGGGTGACAGAACCATGGCCTCAGCTGCCCTTCTGCTCCCTCTCCTCTCCTCTCCCACTGCTGTTTCAGTGGAATTGGGTTAATTCACAAGAAGGAAACCAAACCCACCTTAGAACTTGTATCTCCGAGGTGGAAGGTCACCCAGAGTCTAAGACGTCACCTCTGTGTTGGGCCCTCCTGCACTATGTGACGAGAGTGACCACCTTCAAAAGAAGAGCTGTTGCCTTTCTTTGCAAGTGATTAGCGGGGAAAGGACTTTACTTGAATCAAACATTTGGGTCTTAAGTCAGGCCAAAAGGTGCAGAAGTGTCACATTTACAGGCAAACCAGGACCTATGGCCCTCAGTCCCTGAAAGCTGCTCTGGCTGGTATCCCATAAATATGCAGTAGTCCGCCACCCTTGCCACTAGGTGAGAGGAAGCCCTGTGGCTTATGACTGGCAGGATGGTGCCAAGGATGTAACACCAGGCTGCCCCTGCACACCATGGTCCCTCCCCTGGTACCCCACGTCTGGATTCCCGGGGAGCTCACAATGAGGCCTTGTGGGTCCCCATGCTGGTTTCAGCAGGGACCTGCTGTCACAGGGCAGAGGCAGGCCAGGCCTGCCTATGCTGCTGCCCCTGGACCAGCACATGCCCACATAAGGCTCTCTCCCACCTAGTAGGCATCTCAGGGCTGAGGACTCTGGGAACCCTGGGTGGTCAGGAGCTCACTCCACACCTAGGGTAAGGGACAAGTTAAATGGAAACCTCATTTCCAGAGAAGAAAGTTAAGTGGAAGGACCATCCTCTGCTGTTCTGTGCCTGCTGATGTCTCTCTGGTGCTCCTGGGCTGGCCTCCCAGCTCAGAGCTCCCCTCAGTCCTGAGCCCTCACAGGGAGGGGGATGCCCAGTCACTAAACTGCATCCCTGTTGGAAGACCAGACCTGTCTGCAAGGGTGGCTTCTGTGGGCTGGTGCTCAGGGACTTCCTAGGAGCCACTGGGTGTCCTGGCATCTGGTCCATGTTGGGAAACAGAAGCCCTCCCCAAGCTTGGTGACTTCCCGTAAGGGAGGGCCTGGGTGCGTTTGGCATCCCATTCTCCTCTTTCCTCTGCTGCTTTGCAAGATTAGGGGGCTTAGTGCTGAAATGGACTCTCCAGTTCATTCTATTCCCCAGGCTTTAGAGCTAAGAAAAAGGAGACTCAGACTAGTGACCACTTCCCCAAGCTCACACAGTGAGGACGGAGGCCTGGCCAAGTCAGGGCAGGCAAGCTGGAGCTGTCAGTCCAGGAGGGTCTGGGCTGGGCAGGGAGGTGGGAGCAGCAGACAGACAGAGGGCATGTCCCACAGACTACTGCAGCTTCCGGGATGCAGGCTCCTGGTCCTGAATGTGGATTCCAGCTGGGCTAAAGAGTTCTGCTGGGGAAATAAAATAAACAGGCAATTAGTTAGAGGCCCAAAGAACTCTATGTGGATTGGGAGGCTTTGTAAAGGACCCATTAGCTGTCAGGAGGGAGGGCCACTGTTTTTGTCATGTGGAGCTGGGAGCCAGGCCCCTGTGGGCCTAGGAGAGTCTGGTGGGTAGTCGAGGGGTCAGGTTGACCTTGAATAGTGGAAAAATCATAAAATTACTCTTCTGGCCTTGTGGGAGGGAAGGCTATAAAGCCATCTAGTTCAGACCTCTCTCTCCCAAGACTTTCCATGGTGAAAGAAGCCCATACCATGCCATGCCATGTTATTAGGGATTTAAAAACTTTGTGAAAATTAATTTTTCCAGAATATATTGTGAATGCTCTAAGTGTGATTGTAAAAATGCTGTACAAGAACACAAATGCTTTGTGCCCCTATTTATTTGTGGGCATGAATATACGTTAGTACCCAGGACCCTTAAAACCAGTCTCCTCCAACCCAGATGGCCCTCAGATAAGCCAGCCTTTCGACTTGCTGTGTCCTCTCCCGACAGGACTATGGTTTCTGCAGCAGATCGCCCCAACCTACTCTTGTCCAACCTGGCCTTTCCACACAGGCTCCAACATGGAGCCACAGTGCAATGACCTGTGGGGTGGGCTCCCCATTCCTCAGATCCCCTCACCCAGAAAGCTTTTCCACAATGTTTCCTGGTACCTCCCACCTCTACCAGGTTGGGGTTTGTTCCAGGGGAGAGCCCCTGGGGAGGTTTCTGGCCAGAATCACCTGAGGAGTATGTGCACGACAGCTTCCTGGGCCCCAGTCCTCCTGAACGGGCTTCACTGGGGCTCTGGTGCAGGAACCTGAATGGCAAAGCTCTCCAAACATGAGGTCTGAGCAGGAGGGTGAGGCTGGGTGGGAGAAAAAATCCTGCCCCTACCCTGAGGTTCACACCATGACTAATCGGCCTGTGTCTGAGTCCTCAGCTTCCTGACTGTCTGTGATG